GCTTGTTCTTGTGAGCTTCAGCATCATTTGTAACCAACAATGCTACCTAAAAAAGAACAGCCAAAGATTGAATGTGGTCAGGAATCTAATTTTCTATTAATGCACAGGGATATATAGACTAAGTACAAGAAAAGAGACAATTTTTTAATCAAAAGAAAAAATATCACTTAAAAGGCAGGAATGCAACACTATCCCAGAAAAAAGCATAATGAAAATTCTATATACCAATTGATATATAGATACAAGATAACACTATATTGGCAACACACTAACGATGCATTGTTTAAGTAAAAAATAATGTAATGAGACAGTTTGTGTGAAAAGGTCTGCATGTGCTCCTACGACAGGCATGCAACACTTTTTAGTCAATGTTACAGGCATCCCAGAACACCATCTAACACTGGAATTCCAGTAAGAATGTTAACATATTGCTTGGATTTTAACAATAAATAATGTTAAGTGCCTTACGAAACTATTCTCTAGGGAAAACTACTCTGTAGGCAGAACTTATTTAGCATGTTTTACAAAAGGAGGAGAAAAGAACACTTTGCCACGCAGGGCAAATAGGAAAATAAGAAAAAAGTAAGCACCACATAGTGCAAGCATGTTACACAACATCAACAACTAAAGAATGACAAGAAAAAAAATGTATGTAATTTACTCTGTTAGGGGCAAAGGGTTGCCACCATCCCTGTATTACACTCAATTAGTATTCTGATCCTCTAATGGGACTCTGAAGGCAACCAAACAAAAACAAACTGATTTAAATTTTAAAAAGTCCCATTAGAGGATCAGAAGACTAACTGCAATTAAAGAATGTACCATTACTAGGGCTTATGAAGGAAAGTTACAACCGACAGGTTTGGATATGGGTGTCAGACTAGCTAGTCATGGTGGGGTACATATCATCTGTCTAGCAGGACCAAACAGACTTAAATTTATGTAAGAAGTTTAGTATGCCCCACCATAGATATACATCTGTTGAGCATGCCAATCAATTCCGAATGTGGAGGTAATTAGGAGAGGTCCATTTTAAAGCAAACCTTCTATGGGCAGCAATTAAAAATCTGATGATTGCCAGTGCCAGGTGTTCCTCCATATAGGAAGTATCAAAACAGTCTAAAATACAAATAACTGGGTATACATTTAAGCAGAAACCAAGCAACCCATTTAAAGTACCCATCACCTCAGCCCAATACATCTTTAGTTTGGGGCATTGCCATAAAAGATGAATGCGGGCAACTACATTTACCACAATACTGATCAGGTCTGGCACCTATTCTATGAAGAAATGTAGTGGTGTAGAATAATTGGTTCATGTGAAGGTGAGAGAGAGACATCCTGAGCGGACTGTAAGATATCATCCCATATTCCTGTCTGTGAAGGGCCTAAATCTCCCTCCCACACATTTGTGGGAATTTAGTCAGGAATTTCACTAGGAGTTGGGAGTAGGTGGAGGAAACAAGGACCTTAGTGGTTCTAGCCTGGACTATTGTGTCTATACTGGGGTTGCACCGTATAAGGTAATCACCTTAGCTTATTTGTGAACCATTATTTGATAGAAATTCCAGGCAAACTATTCACAAAGCCATGTGATTAATGTGAATTGGTCTTCGATAGTTTTAACTATTTTAGTTTCATATTTCCTGTGGGGTTTTTTTGGACAATAAAGAAATTGAATAAAAAAATAGATGGAAAGAAGAATGCCCAATCCACAAGTTAAATATCAAAAATGTATAAAGATTTACAGACCTATGCACACAGTCCCTCTATTTTATTATCACAAATATCTTCCTTTTTTGTAACCATCAAAGTATACATATACAAGTTTCATATACATATTTTGTGGTTCAAATCAGATTTTAGACAACAAAAATGGAAAGCCATGAATACACAGGAATAGCAAAAGAAGCTCTGTAACAGAAATAACACATTTCAACTTTATTATCATTAGCTAAAGGGCTAAGTGCCTTCTTATTTCTTTGCCTCAAATCTAAACAAGTTTGTCAATAAAGTGAAAACCTTACTTGTTTTAAAAAGGACTCCAAAGCTACAAACGCAAGTTTTTTCATTTCATGATTGGAGTGGCCACACCACTTGGACATTACTTCAAAGAGGGAGCGATAGTTTTCTATTAGGTAGTTACTGAACTGGGAAGCATGTAAGGAAATAATATTTAATCCAGCTGAAAATAAAAACAGAAATAATATCAATTACAAAATAGAAATAGTAATATGCAAGATAAAATCTCAAAAGCCAATGTCAATCTCCAGTGTAAGTAATAGTGCCAGTCTGAGGCACATTTCTTTCTACTCATTTTGCTCTGTATTGTTTCTAATAGTTTTTTTGGACAAGGTATAAATGTGTTTTTTACATTCATTGCTTCTTTTTATATTAATATTAGTCAAAAAGAAGCAATTATATCATCCCAGAAATCCGATGTGCATAATTTATATAAAATCTGTCAACATAATACATCGTTAACATGGTAATTGGCAAATTACAATCCTATCTGTAGAGGGGAAAAAAAAAAATATTGGAGCCTTATAGCCATCAATATACAGGTGAAAAAAAAAATAATTTTTACAAGCAACCACTCCACTGCCAAATATACCACTGCTAAGCAGCTTTGAACTAGGAAGAATAGCTGAATAACCACAATGCATTGACAGTCATACTGTAATCTACATAAGCTTAAGGCCTCGTTCACACCGTGTGCAGAAACGTGGGTTTTTTTGCACCTGTTTCGCATTTGTTCTCTATGTGCCCTGTTCACACCACAACACTGGTATCATGTGTGGATCAACATTGTAGTTTTAACAGGGTACAAAGAAAACAACTGTTTTCTTTTGTACCCTTGCAGAGAATTTATTTTACATATTTTTTGCACAAAAAAAATCATGTGACAGCAGTGTTATGGTGTGAACAGGGCACATAAAAAAACTATTATTTTCTTTGTGTCCTTGTAGAGACCTACCTAATAAATATGCAGGTCTCTACACGTGGCATGAACAAGCCTATGCAAGTCCATTCTGCACTTTTTTTCATCAGTTTTTATAAATGTATGGTGTGAACGAGGCCTGTTTTGTTTTATGTGCCCTGTTCACACCACAACACTGGTATCATGTGTGGATTTTTTTTTCTGCGTAGAAATTTTGCAACATGTATGCAGTTTTCTGCACATAAAAAAAACTCACCTGATAGCAATATTGTGGTGTGAAGAGGGTACATAAAAAAAACAATGGTTTTCTTTTGTACCCTTGCAGAGAATTGATGTCACATATTTATGCACACAAAAATTCAGGTGACAGCAGTGGTATGGTGTGAACAGGGCACACAGAAAACAATGGTTTTCTTTGTGTCCTTGCAGAGACCTACGTAATAAATAAGCACGTCTCTGCACATGGTGTAAACAAGACCAAATTATTCTATGAAAATCACACCTGCAATTTTTCCCCATCAGTTTTCTGCATATATGGTGTGAGGCCGATTGCAAGGCTCTACTACAGATGATTTGGTGACTAAGAGCACATAATGCAAGTTATGCAATGTGCTGCAACGCAGTCTATTGGTAGGGTGTGCTGGGGTGCCACTTAGAATGAATGGCACCGCATCACACCAACACACCTAATGCATATTACCACACGGTACCACAAAACAATGGCATTAAGACTTGACTTCTGAAGTTACCAGCAAACAAAATTCATAGTGGCTTCTGACAAAAGTGGCCTAAATTGGATCTGCCTATATTTTGTCGAAGTTTGATTGCATGTTAATTTATAGAAGAAATCTAGAATCATACATTTTGTTAGAAAAACAAGAGTAACTGAGGGACATATTTTTAAAGGGTAAATACAATGGAACTGATAGCATGTTGTAGTGGCACAAGATGAAATAGGAGGCTTTTTTTGCCTTTTATTTAAACATGAGCTGATCTTTCTACTAAAGCTACAGATCTCTCCACCACCAAAATAAAAAAACTCACCTGCAGGAACTGCATACCTCTTCAAATCTACCTGTGAGGAAGACAGACATAATAATAAACTTTAAAAAAAAAAAAAAAAAATTACCTTGGTTCAAACACATACAATATTCTGTGTATACCTGTGGTTTTATCGCCTTCACTGTGTATTCAAAAATCTCTTTTGAGGCTTTTGGATCTATAAAAAAAAAAAAAAAAAAAAAAAGCAAGATACAACTGTGTTTTCACTTTCTGGCTGGCTAAATGTCATCCTCTCTCTGTGCTTCATTTGCTGTAAGAGTGAGACTCTACGACTTCAGAAGTAGGAATCTGGGGTCAGATCCCCTCTGCTCCATTCACCTGGTGAAACAGGTGCCTGCCCCTTTGTCACAGAGGATGATGCAGGAAGACGACAGATGTGTTTGGTGTATGGCAAGCTGTGGTAGTACCACTGCAGTTAGCCCCAAACTTAGCTGTTCAGTAAGATGCAAGCCTGTGTAATATTGAGATATTGAAACTCCAATAAAACTAGGAATACACATTAAGTTGTTGCTTAGTTTTCAATTACTTAAGTACTTGGGGAAGCCTTTATATTATAAAACACAAGCTTTCTGCTTTAAAGTACAGCATACACAGTACAAAACTACTTAAGTTTTTTTTTCAAGTACACAAGGTATTGGAAGCAACAGCGTAAGACTGGTATATGCTTCTGCATACCCCTCTTGTTTTAAGTGTTGGGCATAGTTAATCTTTTCACTGCTACATCAAACTTCATGGGTGTTTGCAGTAATCTATACACTAGGGCTGTAATCGGCTGCACAGCAGATTTCTAATTAGACATGTCAGGATCAGGAGCAGAAGTTTCCTGTGTCGGGATTAGAGTTGTCAAGTATACTGGTAAATGTTTGAGAATAGCAACTTTTCCTCTTTTCCCTTGATTTCTGTCTCCCGGTCTATGAGTTACTAATTAGAAGAAAAAAAGATTTTTTTTTCAAGTGTTACCTTCGTCAATGGATTTTGTAAAGTTAATCAAAAGTGCACACAATCCCCTCAGACATCCAGCTACCACTGCCAGCTTTGGCTCTCTAGTAGAGGACGTCATCTATGAACAAGACAGAAAAGTCAAGAACATGATATCGTTAGATTTAAGTGAAAGATAATAATAATTCAAAATAACAATCTAGCGTATTCTGGGCAAAGGAGTAAAAGGCTCAATCCACAAAACCACAATTATTATCATCAGCCACAATGATCAATTTTTCAGCAACGATAGCTGATAATGTGCCTGAAAAAATATAGCACAATAAAAAGTTCCACACAAGCACATTTTACAATAGATCTAATGATACACTTTCAGAAAACAAAGAAACTGTGCAAAAGTCTGAAAATTTTCTTAGAGTACTTTGTAATCTACTGCAACCATGATCCACAGAAAGGATTACATGATCACCTGGAGAATTCTTTAAAATGCACATGATGTGTAAATTAGTCTCTCTACTTCTTAGATTACCAATTACATTCAAACATCCAGGGCAGGATTGACCTGATGACTGTGAAATCTACATAGTACTTAGAAGCCTGCTAAGATTTTGTTTGAGAATCTCTCTTCTGCATCTAATTCAGGCACATCTCCAAAATATCAGCAAAAGAGGGTTGTGGTAAACTGATGCACTATAGCAATACTTGGATAAAAAACTAAAGTAATAAACAGGTAGGCTAAAACATAAGAACAAAATATGATGTAGGTGAAATTATTTTTAATGCTCAAAGTTGTGCTGTAAACCAATTTTGCATCAAAAGATCACAAAAGGAAATACAAAACAGCTTTCTTATATAAGCTTTGATTATAAACAAAAGGAAACTCCTCCAAACCAATTGCTTTTACAATATTATCATGATGATGACAGTGTTCAAGAAAAAAATAAAATTGATGCAAGCAAACATACCATTTTGAAAAATGTGGTAACAAGAGGACAATACCTGAGTTTTTAATTCTCCCAAATATGCCCTGAATAGTTTCTCGGAATTGTCCACCATTTCACTAGGCTGCACTTCTCCCAAAACTCCTAGAAGCTCGTAGACTTTCTCTAGAACTTAAAAAACGACAGTAATACATTTTCATTTGGTATCTAGACCTCGGTCACATCTATGCTTGGCAAGATATCATCCAGAGCATATAAAATTGACAGTGGGATTCAGAAGCTGTGTTCATTGTCTTACCAGTTGAAATACAGCAGGTAAAGTTCTACGTTGAGGTACACACAAGGGCATCCAAACAGAACTGGGAAAAAGTAGAGACCTTGGGTGCACTGTGCTGGGGAGTGCAGCTGATTAAAGATCCTCTCTTGCATCCCAATTACTAAGCAATCTCCCACACCATGTAAACTGACAGCCCAGTCCTGCAGATTGCATAGGGAACACAGCTCTCTCTGTGTTATTAGCAGAACTCCACTGTCAGTGTGCCAGCAGTTTGCTCAGTAAGCTCCAGACAAACAGAGAACAGCTGTCAAAATGACAGCTCCCCTGACTACACAGAGTATTATGCAGGCATTCGTGTACACTGCACTCCAAAGACAGCCCAATCCTCCACAAACGCTCTACATTTTATTGACGTAGAAAAGTTACTGTTGTAGCCTCAATTCATCAAACACTGTCAACTTTTTTAAAAAATTTAATATAAAAAGTCATTTTTTTCAGAACCTGCTGTCAGTTTAACAGTGTAGGCCAGGCATGTCCAAAGTCCAGCCCGCGGGCCATTTACGGCCCGGGGGTCGGTTTAATACGGCCCTCCAACAGCCCTCCCTGCTCTGTGTAATGTGGCCCTCCCATGGCCCTCCCTTCTATGGCAGACAGTCTTCTGCTTGAGAGCAGTGCTCATGCGTGACTGCGCCGCGCTGGGAGCCACAGAGGGCGGTGACGTCAGGGCCGGGCTTCCAGCGTGAAGTGTGTTTCTCTTCCCCTCCCAGCTGCCGAGCAGAGACTTCAGCTCCAGCTACCTTTTTCACCCTTCACATTAGTGCAGGTAAGTTTTTTTAAAATTTATTTTCAATACATTGTGAAAACTCAGCTGTCAGTTGATCTTAATGTTATGAAATGAAAAGTATGTCGTTTGCAATTAACTTGGCATAAAATAATTTATTTGCATTTAATTGTAATGGTTCAAAGAATGTTCGGAAAAATGTTCGGCCCTCCACCGTGTTCACTTCATCCAATCTGGCCCTCTTTGAAAAAAGTTTGGACACCCCTGGTGTAGGCACTGCTCTACATGTTATAGCTGCCCTCTATAGCTATGTTAGCCATGAATAGTAAGAGAAAACAGATATAGTTTTGTTTAAAATAGAAATCTTGGCCATTTAATAACCCACTTGGTACATTTAATTAGCCATGATTAACTCTTTCCTCTCCCTGCCTTCCATTTTTATACCAAATTTTTACTGTTCATATGAACAAAATATTTTGCAAACTTGTAAAGCCTAAGTTTATAAAAAAAAACAAAAAGACCCAAAAAAACCCACACAAAGACCCACACTAGGGACATTAATGTGCCTCTTGCAGTCTCTGGAGTAGAAATCCTCTGCCTTAGATTTCCCCCCTACCCCAGGTTTTTCTGGTGTGGTGGGAATTAACAGAACTGAGGGAACTGTGACAGGCACTCAGCAAGAATACCCAACTATTCCTTGCCAGCTCCTCCATTCATAGAAGCTGTACTACAGCTTCTATGAATTAAATGTGATCTATAGAGGGGCAAAACTTTCACTCACCCACCTGTCCTACATTCATAGATCCTGTTTCATTCATAGAAGCTATGGTATGGCTTTTAAAAATGGAGGCGCTGGGCATAGTTGAGCACTACTGAGCACCACCACATCAGAAGATAATGGGGTGGGGAGATTTCTACTAAAAAAAAAAAAAAAAAAAAAAAGAGACAGCAGCAAAAAAGGACACATTTATCAAGTAAAATAAAAGCAATAAAATAAAAGCATAAAGGACAAAATTAAAACATGGCTTTATTTTTTTCAGTAAATAAAAAAGGACACATGGCAAAATAAAATTAGAAATTAATATCTAAAGTAACACTTTTTTACTGGTCAACCCTGTATTTTTTTTTTTTACTTAAATATGATGTTCTTTCAGTATCAGTTAAGATATACTTCACCTGTGTCTGACAATTTGGTTTTATTAGGAAGTTCGCCATAAAATTTATTGAAAATGTCACAAATTTTAAATTCTTCAATAACGTAGGACTTCTTCAGAAGCTGCAGTAACTGAAATGAGAAAAAAAATTATAAGAAAAAACAAAACAATAATAAAGTAATTAGTTTACTTGCTTCAAGATTCCTAAAGAAGAATTTAAAGGATTAAAGTAGAACTCCAGCAAACTTACTAACATTCACTTGGAGATCCATACAAAAATCAGCCTTCGCTGAAATATTCAGCTACATTCCAGAGATTTCCCATGCGGTTCTATTTTTCCACCAGTAAATATCCTCAGTCTGATGGCCAGCATCATTCAAACTTACCTCCTCTGAGCCCAGGTCAACCTGGACCATTCCCTGCTGGTGATTGGACAGTGAAAAGGAGACGCAGCATCATGCTTATCTCTCGGTTATTCTGCTCTCTCCTATCTGCATGATCCTTGTCAGCACATGAACTGCATGGCTTTCACTAATGCTTCTACCGCTCACACGCCAAACCTGCTGTACAGGAAACTGCAGGCATTTAAAAAAAAAAATTATGATGTAATAATTAATATAAGGCTGCAATAATGTGTCTTTTATGTCTGTCTAGAGTTCTGCTTTACAAGCACATCTTCCAGCAGTATCGTAAGGTGTGTGTGTGTTCTGCCAGCTTCTGTTTAACAGATCCAATTAGCTCTCACCTGCACCAGCAGTAGACAGAGACCCAGGAATTGTAGGATATATAGTTTCTTTACAGGAAATGTTACTTCTCAGACTATGGACAGAGGTCATGCCATATGTGTAAACACAAACAAACTTCTGACACAAGAATATGAAGATTCACTCTACTACAGGCTGTGTGTACAGTTCAACAAATGACACCATGAATTTACATGATTAAGACACATCTTATGCAGGTGAAAAAACACAAGATACAGGTAGGAAGGGTACGAATGCCTTAACGCTGAACTCCATCTAATATATTGAAAAACAAATCACTTTGTAGTATATTTGTCCCTAAGGAGGAAAACACTTGCCTGGAAGTATCGAGGGCCAGGTCTAAATATTCCAACCACTGGGACTAAGGCTGACTTCTGTAAATTCAGATCCTAGCCAAACCTCTTCAGAGAGCATATCGCATGAGACGCATTGGTCTCCAAAAGGTAAGCAGATTTTTCTCTCCAAAAGTAAGTTGTCCTGGCATTCTATAGCAGGAAATACCCCAATTACACAGTAGTTCCACAACTGGAGCCAAAACCCTGGTGAACGCCCTGAGAACTGAGGAAAGGCAGAATTACCAAGTCACAAAAAAGAAGTGATCTCCCCCCACAACCGCATGTGTACAAATAAGACCCCAAGGCACACAAGTTGCTGTAAGGAGTCCTAAACAGCATCCACTGAGAAGCTAAGAGCATGTGGAAATATTCTTCAGGTTTCCGGTCGATTCTGTAGCTCTACAAGTAGAACAGCCTGACATGACAACAGCTGCAATTGCTGATTGTAAAGCTGCTCCCTCGAGCGAGCCTAGAACAAAGCCACCAGACATTTTTTCATGGCATCCTTAAATACTGCGACCTCAACCACTGTGCACATGACTGTCCTAATGACATAAGAGACTGTAAAATCCACCAACGGCACACTCCATTTCATAGTGAACTCACCTTCTCTGGGGTAAACCTTTTTGATAAAATAATCACCTTGTCAAAGTGAGGTCAGTTGACGTACAAAACCATCCTTTACCCCTTCCTCTGCCATGTCAGTACGTCATACAGACCTGACAGGGGAAGGGGGGGGCTTTACACACACTCCTGGTAGCTGCAGCCACTGGAATTGTGTGTGCAACTGACAAGTACACTCCTCCCTGCCAGATGGAAGCATTTTGCCGGCTGCGCTACCGCCTGATTGCTTCCACACATTCCCAGTAATGACCACCTGCTTAGTTGAAACAAAAAAAAAAAAACCCTCAAAACACCCCCTGTTCAGATATGCAGTGTGCACAGTCATCCAGAGAAGTGTGTACGAGCTGACAGGAAGGAAACCTGTTAGTAAACAAAACAGTCCTCCTCCCCGTCGGAAATCTTCGGACATCATAGGGCGCCGGCGAGTAATTACCGACTGGGACCCGGCGATTGACAGCCGCGGCTAGAGGAGCAGGTAGAGTGTGCGCGCCCCCTACCCAGAAATGCAAACTCATGTATATATAAACGTGATTTTGCGCACCAGTGCCGCCCTGTAGCAGAATTTCTGTTATAGGGCGGATGGGAAGTTGTTAAGGTTTTACATGTTGGGTATCTATTTACTTTGTACAACCTCATTTTTTATATTTTACCAAAAATTGGGTAATTTATTGCATTTGTGTGCCCTAAAGTAAATTTTAGTATATTTTTTACAAACATTTTGCTTTTCCTAGACCTTTGGTAATGTTGTGTGACATAAAAAATTGCAACTACAATTATTTTATTCTCTAGGGTGTCTGCTTTCAGAAAACATATAATGTTTTAGGAGTTTATACAATCTGCAGGCCTAAAATGTTTTTTTTTTAAACCTGTGTGCAAAAAACGGTTCTGACAACGAATGGGTTAAATGAGAAAGTGTAGGGAAGTATTTGGGTTGCTGGGGCGAATGCCATCATCCCAATCCTGTAACCTTTGAAGAATTTAGGAAGTGGAAACTTAATTAGTCCAGACAAATTCAACAAGAAAATTTACACAATTCATTTTTGAACCTGAGATACCTCTGACCCGAGGGTTCTTTGAGAGTACAGTGCCTTTAAAAGTATTCATACCCCTTGAAATTTTCCATATTTTGTCATGTTGCAACCAAAAACGTAAATGTATTTTATTGGGATTTTATGTGATAGACCAACACAAAGTGGCACATAGTTATGAAGTGGAAGGAAAATGATAAATGGTTTTCAACATTTTTTACAAATAAATATCTGAAAAGTGTGGGGTGTATTTGTATTCAGCCATCTTTATTCTGATAACCCTAACTAAAATCTAGAGGAGCCAATTGCCTTCAGTAGTCACCCAATTAGTAAATAGAGTCCACCTGTGTGTAATTTAATCTCAGTATAAATATAGCTATTCTGTGAAGCCCTCAGAGGTTTGTTAGTGAACAAACAACATCATGAAGGCCAAAGGAACACACCAGACAGCTCAGGGACAAAGTTGTGGAGAAGTTTAAATCAGTGTTAGGTTATAAAAAGCTATCCCAAGCTTTGAACATCTCATGGAGCACTGTTCAATCCATCATTTGAAAATTAAAAGCATATGGCCGTCCACCTAAACGGATAGGCCGGGCAAGGAGAGCATTAATCAGAAGCAGCCAAGAGGCCCATGCATTTACGTTTTTGTTTCTAACATGACAAAATAGGAAAACTTCAAGGGGTATGAATACTTTTGCAAGGCACTGTATATTCCTTGGATTTGGGATATTTCCGCTTTCACTTATACTGGAATAAGCTAATTTTTCTCCACCTCATCGAACAAACCAACAAGTATTCTGGAAAGCTGCTTTTGAAATTCAGTAACAACAGGATGAACATTACTCCCTTGTCACAAGGAACTGATGGAAGAAAAAAATCAGTCTAATTTAAAGATGGCAGCATGACCCTCTTATAAAGATTATAACAATGCTCTGTGTACTGTAACGTACAATAAAGAAAGTGTGTGCGTGCGTGTGTGTCTAGGGTCTGCGTCAATCCCTATATATTTAAGCTCAGTCAACGGAAAGGGAATGGTCACTAGTCTCATTCAAATTAGTCATCTGTAAAAAAAAAAAATCTGTTGCAGGGGTGTGGAAATTTTTTGAAAAACTACTTGCCCAGGGACTAAATCTGTGCCCCAATATACTTGTCCTGATAAAAAAAAAATTATTTTTACCAAAACCGTTTTTAAATCTCCTTTAAGTAATGTCTGGGGCTTTTAAAAAAACAAAAAAAAAGGGCTTTATGGAGACTTAAACGTTTAATATTTTTAACATTGCGGTTTTTTTTTTTCTCCTCCTCCCCTCCCTGCCTTGTCTCCAGCACCACACTCAGGGACTAGCAAGGAGGGGAGAGGCCTTGCAGTGTAATGAGCACGTCAGGGTGCTCGTCAGGAAAAGGGAGTGTCGGGCTTATTCTTTATCCCTTTCGCTGCCAGAGCTGTTTTTGCGGTTTTTGCACACGTTTACAAAATCATTTTAGGACTGAAGATTATACAAAAACCCCCAAACATTATGTATTTTCTGACATCAGAGACCCTAGAGAATAAAATTGTGATAATATTGTGTGACATAAATAATTGGAACTACCACTAAGGTCTAGCAAAAGCAAAATTTCAGTAAAAAATACACTCAAGTTAATTTTAGGGCACAAAAAGCAGTAAGTTATCCACTTTTTTTGTAAAATATATAAAAAAAAGATGAGGTTGAAACGAGTAAATAATGTAGATATCCAACATGTCAAACCTTAAATTTGCGTGCGCTTGTTAAATGGCAACAAACTTTAGTACCCTATATTTTCTATAGGTGTCACTTTTAAAGCCCCTTATAGGTAATCAGTTTAGCGTTACGGAGGAGGTCAGGTTCTAGAATTATTGCTCTCATTCTGGTGTGTGCGGCAATATGTAACATGTATCGCAATCGTCGCTTTAATACATAGGCGCCCCAACGCTTTTACGTTTGTCCGTACATATGTGGGGGTGGGGGTTTATATGCTTGGGTGTAACTTTAAAAAAAAAAATTATAATTTTTTTCATCACATAGGGGACATGTGATAACTTTTGGTGAGATTCTCTTTTTTGAGACATCCAGAGTCTGAAAAACCCTGCATCTCTCCTCTGTGCTCCACTGAATTTAATGCAGTGCACATCACACTGCATTACATTCTTTCCCAGCCTCGATGGCCGGGAATCTGTCAACGAGGATCCAGAAGAGGTGTCACATCACTTCTGGGTCAGGACAAGAAGGGGAGGGGAGCAGATGTGTCCACCACTGACTGGTCCCAGGCCCGCAGATGAGAAAGCGGAGCCCAGGAGAAAGTGGGCGGGGAGGGCGGAGGCTGGTACCATAGTGGGCTGTGTGGAAGCAATCGGTTGGCAGCACTGCCGCCCAAATGCTTTCACCTGACAGAAGAGCCCTGCTGCCTGCCTGCAGCAGGGCTAAAGGTAAAAAAAGAGAAACTACCTGCCCGGCGTCTGGCTTTTTCCATATACTACACACACATATCCCACAATGCCAACACTCATACAATTAGCACTTAATATGTATTAGTACATGACTTTATCTGTACAATAAAATGATCATATATAAAAATTACATTAAGCTTATATAAGCTCACATAAAAAATGTACAAGATGTAACTCTTACCTTTATAAGGAGATCTAAGGCAGCTATTTTACATTTTGCTAATTTTTCCTTTGTGTAAACAACACCACACACATTCTAGAAAATAAAATATGTGTTAAAACAATGACAGAATAAAGTGGTTGTAAACCTCAGACATGACAAATGAACAAAGCACATTCTTCAAAGCATATCCTTCTACAGTGTGTACTTGCCTCAATCCAAGGAATGTCATTTCCCTCTGCTGTCTGCACAAGTGGACAACAATCTTGGGTGATGACCGCCCCATCAACCCCCCTCCCAACAAACAGATGACTGACAGTTGCAGCTATCAATGTTTCCCTATGACAGTCTGTGTGTGTGGGGGGGGGGGGGGGTCCCAATCCCTTTGCTCTGGTTTCTAATTATACTGAGTTCTATGCTTTATGCTGTGCAGTGTGTGACAGATCACTGCCCCCTGCCTGCTAGAGCTGAGAAAAAGCCTTTGATCTGTGTGTTTTAGAAGGATGTACAGGAGAGAGAGCTATAGATAAACATGTACAACTTATGTAGGAAGATTTGTTTCAACTTTGTGTATCACCTGAGGGTAGTCACTTCAGTGGGTATATGTAAGTGTTTACAATCACTTTAATGAATGCCATACAAACTAATTTTTGTGATCATATTTGCATGTCTGACCACCCTCAGATAGGCATTTACGGTCTAAAAGAAAACAATGTAAGCATCTATAGTACAATAAATGAAGTACAGAAAAAGAATAATATTATAAATGTCACACTTCTACATATATTAGACTGTGCTTACTGGGCTTCACCTAACAGCCAGAAGCGGAAGGAGGAGTGTCTGGCTGTACAGCAGTCTTTGTCAGTGACCTTCCTAAAGCTGACCATATACTAGTAGAATTTTGTTCTAACATGTTCACTTTAAGAATGCTCATTTGATTTTCTAATGGTTAGTGGGGTTACTTTGACATTCATTTTGGACAGCAGTAACAAGAAAATTCGAAGGAGCAGAGTGGAAACATTTTCTCAAATAAATTAATTTCTAACAGTGAATGCCATTACATTCAGGAAGGTTCATTCAATACAAAATCAAATGATAAAAGCAAACATAATTTCAAATTTGGCATCCATCAAATGTACTGATAAGAATTTTCACATATTTGTTTGCATGAATGTTTGTTTTGAAAATTAATTAGTGTATGCAGGGAAGAAAACGTGTGCATATTACTTTCCCCCAGGAGCTTACAAAGCACTGCACCCACGATCAGTGGATCGTGTGTGCAATGTCATGCTCCCGCAAACAAGTCATACAGCTTTCTGCCAGTACCTCTGTACGAGCTGTCTGTTTGAAAGCTGCAGGACATGTGTAATGTACAACAAGGTCGTTGATCAGCACGCAGTCTATTGAAACTACAAGTCCATCTATTCTGCTGACTGATGGTACTTGTAGTTTATTCATTCAAAGATCCGCTATAAATGAATGACACGACTGTGCAGGTAGAGCCCCCTAATACAGGTGTAACTTGTAACGTGTTCCAAAAGGTGAACTTTAGTATAACTAAAGAATTAATGTTTTTTTAGTTTTGGATAGAGATGAGAGGGATTAGAACACTTGTCAGTTTTTATTGCTGTCTGTGTCCCTGTTAAGGAAATTCACCCTCTGTATTTGTCCATTTTACCACTATCATTGAAAATTAAAGTAAAACAAAATCCTACATTTTGGGTTGTTCTCATGAAAGTAATAGAGGGGGAACCTACCACTGGGGACACTAGTTCTAGTGACCTGGGGGTCCCCAAGAAAATCCCTCAATTTTCAGGGATTTCCTCACTTCCTGTTTGACTATGGGACAGGATGTGAAGGGGAATCTCCACAATGGGACACAGAGGGCGAAAAAAATCTGACAGGGGTTATAACCCTCCCCTGCTCTATCCAAAATGGAAAAAAAATTGTTTGCCTATACAGTAGGGATTGAAAGTTTGGGCACCCCAGCTAAACATTTGTATTAATGTGCATAAAGAAGCCAAGGAAAGATGGAAAAATCTCCAAAAGGCATCAAATTACAGATTAGACATTCTTATAATATGTCAACAAAAGTTAGATTTTATTTCCATCATTTACACTTTCAAAATAACAGAAAACAAAAAAATGGCGTCTGCAAAAGTTTGGGCACCCTGCAGAATTTATAGCATGCACTGCCCCCTTTGCCAAGCTGAGACCTGCCAGTGTCATGGATTGTTCTCAATCATCGTCTGGAAAGACCAGGTGATGTCAATCTCAAAGGTTTTAAATGCCCAGACTCATCTGACCTTGCCCCAACAATCAGCACCATGGGTTCTTCTAAGCAGTTGTCTAGAAAACTGAAACTGAAAATAGTTGACGCTCACAAAGCTGGAGAAGGCTATAAGAAGATAGCAAAGCGTTTTCAGATGTCAATATCCTCTGTTCGGAACGTAATTAAGAAATGGCAGTCATCAGGAACAGTGGAAGTTAAAGCAAGATCTGGAAGACCAAGAAAAATATCAGACAGAACAGCTCGCAGGATTGTGAGAAAAACAATTCAAAACCCACGTTTCACTGCACGATCCCTCCAGAAAGATCTGGCAGACACTGGAGTTGTGGTACACTATTCCACTATAAAGAGATACTTGTACAAATATGGTCTTCATGGAAGAGTCATCAGAAGAAAACCTCTTCTACGTCCTCACCACAAAAATCATCGTTTGAACTTTGCAAATGAACATATAGACAAGCCTGATGCATTTTGGAAACAAGTTCTGTGGACCGATGAGGTTAAAATTGAACTTTTTGGCCGGAATGAGCAAAGGTACGTTTGGAGAAGAAGGGGCACAGAATTTAATGAAAAGAACCTCTGTCCAACTGTTAAGCATGGGGTTGGATCAATCATGCTTTGGGGTTGTCTTGCAGCCAGTGGCACAGGGAACATCTCACGAGTAGAAGGAAAAATGGATTCAATAAAATTTCAGCAAATTTTGGATGGTAACTTGATGCCATCTGTGAAAAAGCTGAAGTTAAAGAGAGGATGGCTTCTACAAATGGATAATGATCCTAAACACACCTCAAAATCCATGGGGGATTACATCAAGAGGCGTAAACTGAAGGTTTTGCCATGGCCTTCACAATCTCCTGACCTCAACATAATTGAAAATCTATGGATAGACCTTAAAAGAGCAGTGCGTGACAGACAGCCCAGAAATCTCAAAGAACTGGAAGACTTTTGTAAGGAAGAATGGGCAAAGATACCTCAAACAAGAATTGAAAGACTCTTGGCTGGCTACAAAAAGCGTTTACAAGCTGTGATACTTGCCAAAGGGGGCAGTACAGGATATTAACTCTGCAGGGTGCCCAAACTTTTGCAGACGCCATTTTTTTGTTTTCTGTTATTTTGAAAGTGTAAATGATGGAAATAAAATCTAACTTTTGTTGACATATAAGAATGTCTAATCTGTAATTTGATGCCTTTTGGAAATTTTTCCATCTTTCCTTGGCTTCTTTATGCACATTAATACAAATGTTTAGCTGGGGTGCCCAAACTTTCAATCCCCACTGTAGTTGTACTTTAATTGCTAGTTAATCTGTGGCATACACAGTGCTCCCATCTTCAGGAACACAGCAAACTCATATGACAGGAGAAGTGGAGCAAGCTCCTCTGCCAGATAAAAGGATTAAACTTTAGCTCCAGCTACAAATGATTATTTTAGATTTGGTAAGTGTGGAAGGTTTAGAATATTTATCCAGTTTTAAATACTGACTGTGTCTAAATACAGTAAGTGGGTGTATCCAAAGCAGCACAGACAGTAAAAAAAATCCAAATGAGGTTCTAAACCATTTTTCACACCATTCCCATTAGGGGACAGAGCTACAGGACACACTAGTAACGTAGAAGCTGGTGGATAGAGCCATAGAGCATAGTGGGGACACAGAGCAGCATTACTGACAAACATTATAAGATATTATAAGTGGCGTGGCACGTTATGTGATAATCAGGTTTATGAATCCCACCCTACTTAAGAAAGATATGCGTAAACCCAGAGTCATCTAACCTGCATAAAATTTCTCAGCCTTTGGTGTATATATATAGTACAAATAGGATACGCACTTCTAATATTAATATACTAGGGGGTACATTACCCTCCACATAACACACCCAATCTAAAGAAAGCCCATGAAACATTCAGCAAGTTTTATCTGTATGAACATCTTCACATATCAAAATTGTTATTTATAACTAAAGATTGCATCTCAGACTTCACAATTTTTATTCAAAATTCTATATCAAAGTACTGTAATTGACACTCACACTGCAGGGAGCATCTCACTACCAAGTTTACTTTGATAAGAATTATGGTTGTTTTTATTCCTTACCTTGATGTCCACAGCATAAGGCTGGACATTCTGACCTATTTTCTCCAGAAATGTGTACAAGAACTTCAGTGCTTCTTCCCGACAATCTCTTAACTGAAAGCAAAATACATAAAAGATTAAAACTATGGTACAAAAGCAAACTATGCCTTTCAGAAAATAAAAATCAACATTGGATGTGTGTAACTAGCTTACCTCTTCAACATTGAGAGATTTGCGTATAAACAAGATCAAGCCAAACTCTTTAGAGAAGACCAATGAAGTATTGAGATCTAGAAAGCAGGATACATGCCAAAATGTTACTATTGTAACAAAGTCTAAAGAGTTACACCGATTTCCTATGCATCACTTTGTACCTAAATAGACTTCAAAATATGCATTAACATGCAGTTATGCTCAGAAAACCAAAAAGTTTCTAATGAAAGATCTTTCCACTGACGTACATACTCAGGTCACTTGACATCACACGCTCTAGAGTATGGAGGAGGCTGGCAACCCCAGTGCTGATTGTATCTTAACCACTTGAGCCCCAGAGGATTTACCCCCCTTAATGACCAGGCCTTTTTTTGCTGTTTGGCGCTGCACTAATTCAAATGATAATTGCGCGGTCATGCAATGCTGTACCCAAACAAAAATTTATGTCCTTTTTTTCACACAAATAGAGCTTTCTTTTGGTGGTATTTGATCACCTGTGCGCTTTTTATTTTTTGCGCTATAAACAAAAAAAACCACAAAAATTTTGAAAAAAAAAAAAAAACAATATTTTCTACTTTCAGCTATAAAAAATATATCGTAAACTCAAAGTTAGTCATAAATTTAAGCCAAAATGTATTCTGCTACATGTTTTTGGTAAAAAAAATCCCGTGCATTAGCGGGCAAACTGGCACTATCTAGGAGGGGCGCTAACACTATCGGAAGTAACCAGTGACACTAATACAGTGATCAGTAAAAATCTGTTCACTGTAATCAAGTGGTGACAGGGCAGTGAAGGGGTTAACTGGGGGGGGGGGGGGCGATCAAGGGGTTAAATGGGATTTCTGGTGCACTAGCGGGCAAACTGGCGCTATCTGGGAGGGGCGCTAACACTATCGGAAGTCGCCAGCGACACTGATACAGTGATCAGTAAAAATTGGTTCACTGATCAGTGACACTGGTGACAGGGCAGTGAAGGGGTTAACTGGAGGGGGGGGGCGATCAAGGGGTTAAACGGGATTACTGGTGTACTGGCGGGCAATCTGGCGCTATCTGGGAGGGGCGCTAACTCTATCGGAAGTCGCCAGCGACACTGATACAGTGATCAGTAAAAATTGGTTCACTGATCAGTGACACTGGGTGACAGGGCAGTGAAGGGGTTAACTGGAGGGGGCGATCAAGGGGTTAAACGGGATTACTGGTGTACTGGCGGGCAAACTGGCGCTATCTGGGAGGGGCGCTAACTCTATCGGAAGTCGCCAGCGACACTGATACAGTGATCAGTAAAAATTGGTTCACTGATCAGTGACACTGGTGACAGGCAGTGAAGGGTTTAACTGGAGGGGGGGGGGCGATCAAGGGGTTAAACGGGATTACTGGTGTACTGGCGGGCAAACTGGCGCTATCTGGGAGGGGCGCTAACTCTATCGGAAGTCGCCAGCGACACTGATACAGTGATCAGTAAAAATTGGTTCACTGATCAGTGACACTGGGTGACAGGGCAGTGAAGGGGTTAACTGGAGGGGGGGGCGATCAAGGGGTTTTAAACGGGATTACTGGTGTACTGGCGGGCAATCTGGCGCTATCTGGGAGGGGCGCTAACTCTATCGGAAGTCGCCAGCGACACTGATCAGTAAAAATCGCTTCACTGATCAGTGACACTGGTGACAGGGCAGTGAAGGGTTAACTGGAGGGGGGGGGGCGATCAGGGGGTTAAATGTGTCCTAGAGTGTTCTAACTGTAGTGTAGTGCTTGTGTACTCACTTTTTGGATGTCTTCTTCTCTGTCTGGAACGGAATGTGTCCAGGCAAAGAATGACATCATATCCTGCCCTGTGTGTATGTCAACACAGGACAGGATAGGACAGGGACCGATCATGTGATTTCAGCCAGAAATCACTGGCTGAAATCTAATGATTGATCCCTCCTGGATCAAATAGTGTCACCCGCGGGTCGGCGGGAGCGCGCGCCCCCTGCCGGCGAAAGTGTCGGGAGCGCGGAACCCGTTTTTAAACGTGGTTTTGCGCTCCACTGCCGCCCTGCACACGTATATACACAGTGGCAGGGCGGCAAGCGGTTAACCTCTTGCCCGCCACCCTATAGCAGAAATACTGCTACAGGGTTGCGCAAAATCACATATACATATATATATATATATATATATATATATATATATATATATATATATATATATATATATATATATATATATATATATATATATATAGGGAGCATGCGCAAAATCACGTATATATATATGTAGGGAGCATGCGCGCCGCCCTGCCCGCGTCCCCATTGGCAGCTAAGGATGTCAATCACCAGGTCCCGGCTGGAGATTCCCCGCCGACACCCAGTGATCACCATGCAAAGCTGACAGAGGAGAGACCTGTGTGTAAACAACACAGGTCTCTCTCCTGCCAGCAAGGACATGCTGTTTTGCATTTCTCCGCACAACACAGAAACACAAAAACAGAATGACTCCAAGGTAAAACAACACACATAGTAAAAAACACACAACGCACAGTTAACCCTTTCTTGGCCAGTGTCATTAGTTTTTTATTTTTATTAGCACTGATCACTGGGGATTTTTTTGTAGCAAAGGCATGTAACAGAATACACTTTGGCCTAAGTTTATGATGAAATTTGATCTTTTAAAAAAATTTTATTGGATGTTTAATAGCAAAAAGGTCATAAATGTTGTTTTTTCTTTTTCCTAATTCTCAGTCTTTTTTTGTTTATAGCACAAATAGAAAAAACACAGAGGTGATCAAATACCACCAAAAGAAAGCTCTATTTGTGGGGAAAAAAAAAGGACATATATTTTATGTACAGTGTTGCATGACCATGCAATTGGCAGTTAAAATAACGCAGAGCCGTATTGCAAAAAATGGCCTGGTTAGGAAGGCGGGTAAATCCTCTGGCTAATAAAGAAGCAAAATAAATCCAACACAGTCAACTGCATTCTCTTAAAATCTGTCAAGCAAGATTACTGCTGCCAGTAATGTGTGCCACAGTATGTGGATGGGTTACCTGATCTGACAGATTTTTCCCAGATTGCATGTCTATTTGTACCTTGAGGACACAGAACTCACACATTCTGTTTAAATTTGCTTTCCACTTTCAATCCAAGATAACTCTGCAGAACCCATTCGTTATAGGACCAAAAGTACAGTTCAGACTTAGCTCCATACTCTTGCAATGGCCTATGTTATACCAGCAATGTGTATATCAGAAACATACTTTCCATAGAGAATCATGTTTAAACCACTGAGGATTTACCCCCCTTCTTGACCAGGCCTTTTTTTGCGTTACGGCGCTGCATTACTTTAACTGACAATTGCGGGGTCATGCACTGCTGCACCCAAATGTAATTTACGTCCTTTTCTTTTCCCCACAAGTTGAGTTTCCTTTCGGTGGTATTTGATAGCCTGTGCGTTACTTTTTTGCGCTACAAAAAAAAAAAAAAAAAAAACCGACAATTTTGAGGAACAAAAAAAAAACTATATTTTTGTTTTTTTGCCATTAAACATGTCCAGTAAAATCCCAATATGTGTAAATTAATCGGTTTTTAAAAGTTATAGCGTTTACAAATGGTGGTATATATACTGGGATTTATTTATTTTTACTAGTAATGGTGGCGATCAGCGACTTATAGCGGGACTGTAGCAGGCATTCTGACAATGGGGGGGAACTGACTTGTGTCACTGACATCCCCAGTGACACCAATACAGTGAAAAAAGCACTGACACTGTACTAATTGCACAGGGCAGAAAGGGATTAACATGAGGGGCGATCAAAGGGTTAATGGTGTGCTGGGAGTATATTACTGCGGGGGCAGTGTGTTGGTGCTTCACTGTTCATTGTAAGCACACTGCTCTGCTGTGCACAGCCATCCATAACAGGGTGCCCGAGCTGACAGGGAGGAGGACCGTTGGTAAAAAAAAAACAGTCCTCCTCCCCTTTGGAGATCTTCGGAAATCACCAGGCAGCAGCGTGTTATTACTGGCCGGGACCCGGTGATTGAAAGCCACAAATGGTGACACTGGTAGCGCGCACACATGGCTCGCTCGCGTCCCCTACCAGGAAATGCAAAATCATGTATATATACACACGTAATTTTGTGCACCCTTTCCACCCTGTAGCAGTATTTCTGCTATAGGGTGGACAGGAAGCGGGTAAAGGAAATTAATTGTGGGGGTTGTGGGCAGGAAGGGATTAACATGAGGGGTGGTCAAAAGGTTAACTCTGTGCTGGGAGTGTTTTACTGGGGGGCGGTGTGTTGGTGCTTCACTGTAAGCACACTGCTCTGGATGACTGTGCCGTGCACAGACATCCAGAGCAGTGTGCCCGAGCAGACAGGGAGGAGGACTGTTAGTAAACAAAGCAGCCCTCCTCCCCGGAGATCCTTGGTAATCACTGGCTGGGACCCGGTGATTGAAAGCTGCGGCGCGTGCCCCCTACCCGGAAATACAAAAGCACATATATATGTGATTTTGCGCACCCCTGCCCGCCCTGTATCAGTATTAAATACAACACTTGAGTTTGCACCAAGCTTCTAAACGCCCCTCCATATTATCCCATGTGTCCATGCACACAGACGTTTAGAAGCTTTTAGCATCAGCAGTTTTTAAAAGCTAAAAATACCCACTGCCAGTGCATCCAGGAGCAGCAGCGTTTTGACAGAAAAAACAATTAACGCATGTAAACAAGTGTTAACGCTAGGCGCACTTAACGCTTAAGAGGTAATTCATTTCAATGGCCAGAATAAACAATTATTCTCGTCAATGAAATGAATTAACGCTCAATCACTTGACACCTGTAAACGTGCCTAAACGCTTGTAAAAGCATTAGACACTTTTACAAGCGCTAGGTTTTTTTCTGCCAAAACGCTGCTTCCAAGAGGATTAGTGTTTTTAAAACGTCCTTTTGGCAAGTGAAGTGCCCACCAAACGTGACCAATTCAATTGAATGGGGATGCTCTGCAACTGCTATTAAGGAGTTCAAGGGTTAAAACAGGAGATGTTGTATCACCTGTCAAATGCTTTTTAAAAGAGTGTTCCAAACCCTCTTCAGAGGCCAAA